AAAAATAGGATAGACCAAATTAAGAATTTAATAGACAAAGTGAAAGATAAAGTTGAAGAAATTTCTCAGAGAGTAGAACAAAAAGCAAAGAGATGAAAACTGGAGAAATAAGAGAATAAATGTATAGGATCAATTTAGAAGTTTCAACATCTCACTGATGGGGGTTCCAGAAAAGTGAGATAATGGACAGGGGAAATTATCAAAGAATTTCCCAGAACTGAAGGTCATGAGTTATCATATTGAAAAGGCCCACACACAATGAGAGAAAGGAGACTTGCACTAACCCACATCATTGTGAAAGTTCAGAACACCGAAGAGGAAAAGAAGAGTTGAAGAGCTTATAGAGGGAACTAACAAGTCACAACAGAAGCCAGGAGACAGTGGATTGATGCCCTCAAAATTCTAAGGGGAAATGATTTCCAATTTAGAATTCTATATTAGGTCAAACTATCAGTCAAATATGAAGGATAACTATAACTCTCTCTTAACTGTTTCGAGAAAAAAAATATGCACATACAAGACAGAGAAAAGACATGATAAGGCAAATACAGCAAAAATGTTTACAACTGGTGAATTGGTGAAGGGTATTTAGGAGCTTTTGGTAATATTCTTGCAAGTTTTTAAGTTTGGAAAAAAAGAATGAGAGTAGAATAAAGGAATTTTTAGATGTGTAAGGTCTCTAAAGTTTATCTCTATGTTCACTAAACCACTGTAGAATGGGATATGTTCCATGCAAACGGAGAAGTGAAAAAACAAAATGCAACCATGGGATAAGAAAACAGAATCCAATACAGAAGAGAAGTAAAGGGTAGTCCTGGGATGACAGCTGCATAGTTCGTTAGGAGAGTAACCAGTCTAGCATGGAGCAGGAGGACCAAGGACAGAGGTTTATTTCCAATAAAATACAGAGTTGATAGATTAGCCATTGGAGTAGTTTTATAGTTCAGACAGAGATGATTAAGTGGACAGAGCCCTAAAAAATAGAACAAATCGAAATTTGAGTTAATTATTAACTCCAGGGAAAATGAACAATTGCACAAGAAAGGAAAATAAATGATGTGGTTCAGACATGAACAAGATTTATATGGTCGTATCAATGCCAAAATGTATATATAATATAATCATGTTGAGAATGAGAGGAGGAGAATGGTATGTGAATGGGTGGTATAAAAGAGATCGTTCCTTATATTCTGTGGTAAGAAGTCAATAAATAACGTGTAAAATGGAAAAATCAAGAAAAGCAGTAGAAATCTATTACGGGAGTAAACGTGAGAAAAATGCTTAAAGAATTGTCTCTGAGGGTTTGGAATCAGAGTGGGTAAGGATAATAAGAGAATCTTTTTTTACATATAGGTAGAATTTGTCTGGGACAGTCCCAGTTTATTCTTGTTAATCGGGCATAATTTTACTACTATTGCCCCTTTTGTTCCCAAAATTGTCCCAATTTAAATGAATCCTTGAAGTGTCATTTGACTTTTAAAACCATATTGGGTAAAAATTTGATAAAAAATAAAAAGAGAGGGCTCTTTGGACCCTAAGTAAAATAACTCTGTTTCATCCAGCTCAGCCAAAGATTGATTTCTTTTTCTTTAAAATAAATTTGTTTAAAATTAAATACAAGCAATATATCTGTTTCAAAGCACTTTTTACATTCACTACCTCATTTAATCCTTAAAACAGTTTCATGGGGTAAACATCCTATCACAATTTATAGATGATAAAAATGAGGTTCAGAGAGGTCTTGTGACTTCATAACAAGGTGGCACAGCTTGTAGATAATAGTCCACACTGGACTTGGGCCCACTAATGACAGTTCCTATGTTCTTGCCACGCTATCAAATAATAAGGCATTTACGCCATCCCACAAAGTGACAGAATCTGAGATGGAAAATCAAGAACCCAGATTAATAGCCTAGCTGTTAGAAAAACAGATTATGAAAAATAATTAATAATTAAACATCCTGGTCTTTGAACAGAAATTCTAATTAGTCTGTCCAATTAGGCATAGCGGAAACGGAAATCACCCTCATGGGAGGACAGGCCACACCTCCCTTGGAGTACCAAAGGATGAATCTCTGCAGCTAAAGACCAAGGAAGCAGCCCTAATGGTCTTATTTTTTGAAAAAACACATCTTAAAATTATAAAAATAATGCATAAATTAGTTCTGAAAAAAATAATAAAATAGAGAAAAAGCACAAAAAAATGTTAAATAATCTAAATTCCATCACCTAAAGATGAACACGGTTAATATTTTAGTATATATACATATATA